TGCTCATCTACGGCGAGCTGCCGGGCAAGTCACAGCTGAAACTGTTTGAGGCCGAGGTTTTGCACCATTCGTACGTCCACCGCGACCTCGAAAAGCTCGTGGGCGACTTTAACGACCAGACCCACCCAATGTCGCTGCTCGTCTCGGCGTTTGCCGCCATGGGATCGTTTGATCAGTCGGCCAACCCGGCGCTCGCCGGTCAGAAATTGTACGCCAACGGTGGCACGCGCGCAAACCTCGAGGCCATGGACAAGCAAATATTTCGCTTGATCGGCAAGTCGATCACGGTCGCCGCCATGGCATGGAAAATTTACAACGGCAGGCAATTCAACTCGCCGCCGACCGGATCAAACCTCGACTATACATCGTCGTTCCTATACATGCTCGACAATCTCAACGAAAAGGATTTCAAGCCGCACCCCGTCTTTGCCAAAGGTGAGCCCGCCGCATTGTCGGACCACACGGAAAGCTGACACATTGCGCGTGCAGCGCTCGACATTTTGTTCATCCTCCATGCCGATCACGAGATGAACTGCAGCGCCGCAGCAATGCTTCAGGTCGGATCGTCGCTCGCTGATCCGTTCAGTTGTGTGTCGGCCGCCACTGCTGCTCTTTACGGCCCATTGCACGGAGGAGCCAACGAAGCCGTCATCAAGATGCTCATCGAAATTGGCAGTCCGGAAAACGTGCCAGCCTTTATCGAAAAGGTCAAGCGCAAAGAAGCCGTCCTGTCTGGCTTTGGTCACCGCATCTACCGCAAGACAGACCCTCGCTCCGAGATCGTGCGCAAGGTTGCAGACGAAGTCTTTGCGGTGACAGGCTCCGACCCGCTGCTAGAGACGGCAATGGCCCTGTACGATGCGGCACTCAAGGAGAAGTACTTTGTCGAGAGGCGCCTGTACGCAAACGTCGACTTTTTCACCGGCCTCATTTATCGTGCGATGGCATTCCCGCCACAGTTCTTCACAGTACTGTTTGCAACGCCCCGTGTCGTGGGCTGGGTCGCTCACTGGAGGCAGATGATGCTTCAGCAGGCCGGAGTCAAGATCTGGAGACCTCGACAAGTGTACCTCGGCTCTGGAAAACGGGATTACGTTCCTATGGAGCATCGCACAGAAGACATGACCCGACCGAAGCATCCTAGTGGAGAGCCGACACAGGTCAAGCATCTCTTTTCGAAGCGATTGCTGCTCTCGAGGGATGCCAAAATTTGAGTTGTACGGCATTGCTCCCGTTGTAGCTCGTCATGAATAAGTGCATTGATGCTCGTAATATGAGGGTGCTTTTTGTGAACAGAGTAATGGTGTGCGCCTCTGCAAGTCAGTTCCTCGCTTTTCGCCACAAACCCTGATTCAGGCTACGAACGTCAAGTGTATCAAGCCGGTTTGTAATTTTTCGTGGAATGCTCATGTGTGTTGCGCGACGTCAGAATGATGAGTGTCGCTCATGTAGAGCGCAGCTCGTCAGTATGACCGGTACAAACAAACGACGAGGCTGCTTGGTGCACGGGCAAGCGAAAATGGCATCGCGAAATTGAGCACCCGCTAGGATGTCTCCTCTTGTAACGAGATTGACCCATTGGCGTTACCGACGGGGGAGACGGTGGAGATGACTGAATTGTGTGCGGAAGCTTTGGCTAGGTCATTAGCGGTAGTTACGCCTTGCGACGGAGAATTGTGTGCCCACGCAAAGGGCCACTCTCTGTCCAGAGACCGCTCTTCACACAGACGCCCTGACATCCACCCTCTTCACCGTTTGCTTTGACCGATTTGACTCGTTCGACGAAGATCGGCCAGATTGTCCAAAACATCGTCAGTCTGGAGAGTGGACTACTCGCTGCGGCTGCGATCCCGCAGTACTCCTTGAAACGCATCATATGGTATACCTGCAGTAGCATGGAAAGCCCTACTTTCACCAGCAACAGTCATGGCTCGAAAGCATGCTTCGCCGCCCGCCACTAGCGACTGCCCAGCCGGAGCTGTTCGCCGACGAGTGTGACGGAATGCAGAGTAGCAGTCGCTGTAGTGCACGGACCCAGTAACGTGTGTGCGAGTTCATCGGCCGCGTTGGTTCGACAAGGAACACGCTCCGGAAATCTGAAGACACGAACTGATCTTCAGCCATCCCTCAATGGTATCCGAAAATGCGTCGACGAAGGCGCTCAAGCTACCACAACATTCGTCTGTGGTTTGCTGCCCTGTCGTTGACGCTCGCAGCAGTAGAGTCACATTCTCATCTCGTAGCACCGGTACCGTCAAGCGCCTTCACAAGTGGCAGAGTGTAGCGAGGCACAGAAGCGAGGTGGAAGCAGTAGTCCAAGGTCAAAGCCAACATCACCGAAAAGTATTTGCGAGAAAGTGGCCTCGGCGCTGGAACCCAGCCGAACCTCTCTGCCACCTCTCACCGGATTGCAAGCATTTTCTATAACTGGGTGCGCCCTTTGCCTTTCATTCCGGTGTTTGTGCCTCACGACCGGGAAACAGTAATCCTTTGCGGACGAAGAAGATTCCTTAGCATTACACGTCACGAATTGAACAGTGTTGGGTCCGACAACGGCAGGCGAAATCGCACGTTGGATACTCACTCAGACAAGAAGCCTCAGGTGTTTCGGCATATAGAGTGTTGTCCGCCAACGCCGCTAGATTCTTGGTTGGGCCAGACCATGGAGAATGGCTTCGAATGTAAATCCAAGCTCAGGGACCGTGACTGAACCCTCGAGTACTGGGCGAAACCGTCGCGGTGCCCTTGCCAATGGCCAGAAGTGATGAGCAAAGAGGATGGTAGGCACGTCCAGGTTGGCATCGTCAGGCTGCACAGGCGGACAGACGAGCCGCTGAACGGGGGATGGACATTCAAGCCCTTAGCGCAGCAAGACATCAGCAAAATGTTGTCAACAACCTGGCATAGTGATTCTAAGCTCTCCAAAAGCAGCAAATGGCGCTCGGTATATCTTAATCTATTTTCACGCGGGTTGCCTACCGTTTGAAAAACGGAGCGGGTTTTTCTGTGCGTGCCGACACCTTGATGCTGTAGGCTTTGTCCACTGATAAATTTGCACCAAAATCCAGCAGCATGTTTTTCACATGTACAGAAGTCATTCTTGCAACTTTGGCGGGATACATGCCATGTCATCGCCTGAAACCACTTGCGGAAGAATTCTGTGCGTCTGTCAGTGCGTCTTTCTCGCACCTGCGCTTTGCTCTGCGTTCCTGCAGCAAAATCTGCGTCCTGCATTCTCTGCGTTCCCTGCGCTCTTTGTGCGCGATCTCTGCAGAGCAAACGCACAGGCCCCGCAGGCCCTGCGAACCAAACGCAGGGAACGAGCTAAGCACGCGCAGATTCCATGCTCAGGGCTTTGTGGCCTGCCGTGAAGCGACCTCCTCCAAGATTTTGGCCCCACCTGGTCGATCGCGAAGCTTCATGACCCTGTGACCGCATGTCAAGTCCATGAGACCTCACAGTGGCAAACTCCGCGAACTCATGTTCGACCTTCATCAAGCCACAGCTTATGGATGGCACGAGCTTGCTTAGCACCGTACAAAATCCTGATCTGAAGCTCAGGAACCACCACAAGGCACGCTTCGGTTTTGTTCCGTGAGCCTGTACGACGATTACTCCTACTGTGGCTGTTCTACAGGCACCTTGCGGTCGCTGTAAGCAACCAGTCCCAGGTAAGCAGAAGAATGCTGCTGGTTCAATTTGTGTGTTGTGCACGGAAGTGTTTCACAAGAAGTGCAATCCGGCAGTGCCTCTCCCGGCAGACCAAGGAATGACCGATGGATTGCAAACGGTTGCAGGACCGTTCCAGGTTTGCGATCAATGTTATCGTCAAACCCACGGCGTCTTCCTCTTGGATGGCGACGCACTATGGACGGGGCTGTATGACGACTCAGTAGAGATCATTGGATCTTGATTAACTTGAGTTTGAAATGGTCGAGCTGCATTTGTATTGCTTCAACATGTATGCAGTTGTGTATGCGCATCATGTCAGACGTGCAATCATAGTACAGACGTCGGTGCAGTGGCTGTGCAGAATGTGCACAAAAAGAGCGCGTTCTCTGCGTTTAGTGCGTGTGCTGTGCGAGGCCTGTGCGGTTGTGCGGGGTTTATGCGTTTACCCTGCAGCGAGCGCGCAGAGAGCGTTCAGTGCGCAGATCTTGCAGAGGCCTGTGCGTTTGCTCTGCAGAGATCGCGCACAAAGAGCGCAGGGAACGCAGAGAATGCAGGACGCAGATTTTGCTGCAGGAACGCAGAGCAAAGCGCAGGTGCGAGAAAGACGCACTGACAGACGCACAGAATTCTTCCGCAAGTGATTTCAGGCGATGACATGGCATGTATCCCGCCAAAGTTGCAAGAATGACTTCTGTACATGTGAAAAACATGCTGCTGAATTTTGGTGCAAATTTATCAGTGGACAAAGCCTACAGCATCAAGGTGTCGGCACGTACAGGAAACCCGCCCAGGGCTTCAATCGCGAAGGCGACAATGGGCCAAGTCTCGCTGATTTTTTTTTTTTTTTTTTTTTTTTTTTGCTAAATAAACTATCCATTGCAATTGATCACTTGGTCATCCTCAGGATAGAACGGGGGAAGAGCAAAAATCCATTACGGACGAAGAGGAGTCCTCAGCTTCACATGCCTCGGCTTCAACAGTGTGGGATTCCGACAGGCGGTCGAGTCAATCGCCTGTCGGATACCCACTAAAACGAAGAGCCCCTCGTTTATCGGAGTCTTGCATGTGCTCGGTGGTGTAACTAGATTCTGGATTGGTCCATGTCATGGAGGATGGCTTCGGATGTGGTTGCTTTTCTTTTTTTTCTAAACAAACTATCCATTGCAATTGATTACTTGTGGTTGCCGACACGGCAACTAGCCAACAAGATGACGAAGTACGTCTAGACATTCACGCCGCAGGTCCTGGACCTGTGAAAGAAAAGCTGCAGGGAACTGTTTGTGGAGTATATTTAAAGTCTAAAGCTCCCGATTATCCACCGAAGACACAGCGTTGTGGCGCAGCTGGAAGCGCGCAGGGCTCATATTTTCCGGAGTGTGTGACCCTGAGGTCGTGCGATCGAGACGCACCGACGCTATATGTTTTTTTTTGGCCCTGTCGCTTGAAATGGGTGCTGCCAGCTCAACGGTATGGATTTCAGGCTTCTTAAAAGATCTATACCAGCGTATCTACACTAGCTTCACGTCAGCCACCTGTGCGCGCGCGCTTCTCCGACCCTATGCTTCCCCAACAAGTCGAGCACTTTGACGACAGGTGGGTAATTCGGACACGGCGCGCCATGTACGGTCTGTGTGCACCGCTTTGGAATTGTTCCATGTTGTTCACAGTGGGCGACGTAGTGCTCTGTGGAACACCACTTGTGCTTGCGGGTTCGCTTCTTTGTACAGCTTCCAAGTGCGCACCCCCTGATTCATCACCTCTTCGACCTGCTGCGCCTTGTAACACTTGTCGCATTTTCGATGGCCTTGATGCCTTACTGGGCCGCCACACTTTTCACAGTTGCGATCCACAGGTTCGGGCTGCAGCTGCACGCCGGACTTTCTCTTTTTACTGCTCGTATGATGTCCTTTGCAGCGACAGATGCAGAGCTCGGGGCAGTCTTGATTAGTGTAGCCGGGACAAGCCTCCAGACGACGAGTCGAAAAAAAGTCGCAAGAGCATCGACAGCCTTCCAAGTGCCCTTCCTCTTCACATGCGCAAAAGAACGAGCCGCCGCCAGAGAACGTCTCGCATGCGACACCCCGGCATTATAGTTCTTGGACACGTACTCGACCCAGCCCTCTTGTATTGCTTTGACCGCTCCTTTTCGACCTTTCGGCAAGACGGACGCAGGCAGTAGAGCATGATTGTCGCCTTGTCGGAGCGACGACGAAAGGCCGACGAGGAAACGCGATGCCGCATCAGCTCGCACACGCGCCAGATTGTCGATTGGAGTCGTCTGATTGAAGTCGACAGCCAGGGGTATCAAGATAGACAATGTGTCTGTACAGCCGATCAGTTCGTCAAACTTTTTGAGCCAGCGCCGAGCGGTGCTTGAATGCAGCACACTGCGAATGTCAAAAGAGGTCAGGCAAGCCTTTCAATTCGGGGAACAGGAGAAAGACTGACCGGTGCGGAGCCTTGTCCCTAGCTGCGAGCTGAAGCACGTCCAAACGATCCGAAGGCCAGACGGTGCCAGACAAGTGCACGTTATTTTCATCGACGTAGTCAGCTAGCTCGTCTAGACCATATGTCGAGCGGTCGAGGCGATCGATTGACGTGAAGAGGACCAATGTGTTCTTGAACTTGCGCCTGATGAGAGTATCTTTGATCGGCGTACCTGCCGCGCCAGACACGCCTGCGTACTCCGCATGAATGACTCTGAGCTCAGGTGGTAACATAAGAGAAAGCCAGGCCTGCTGCCGCTGTAATGAGTTGTCGGAGCCGGCGCGTGACGTTCGAGTGAATAGGATCGCGTGCTTCAGACTTTGCTTGCGAGCGAGCTGAGATAGTGCCTCTTTGAAGTCGGCCAGAAGACTCTGCTCTTTGAGTCGAGCTTCAAGCAAAACACGAATGAGCATCTCGGTGGAACTTCCGTAGAACGAGCTCTCTTCGACTAGCAGCATTGCGTTCTCGATATGTGTCTTGGCACGATCAGCGTTGGCGCAAAGGTCGACCCAGACGTCATTCTCACGAAGGCTCCGCTCGTCGGCTTCATCATCGCCATTCAGGCTCGCGTCCGCACTGTCCTCTTGCTCTGACTCTGGCTCGTCGCTATCAAGCTGATGTGACTCGTTAGCATGCTTGGAGAGCATGAACATGCAGCGCATGTCTGAGTCTGCCTTCTGAAGCGCGGCGCAGAGCTCATCGATGTCCTCGACTCGGCGTGTGGCGCGGTCTAGATTTGTGACCAGCACGATCGTCTCCGGCTCAAGCAAATCATGTACGTGCTGGAAGGCACGACGCTGCTTAAAGGCATGCCGGAACGAGCTCCCGTGCTCAATCACGAGCTTCAAGTCGCCGACATTAGACCAGTCGGTCTCAATGTCGTCCGGCGGACTTTCCAGCATCGAGACGAGCTGACGGGCGAGGCGCACGTGCGAAAAAGGAGAGGTGCGAGGCTGTGATATTATGGCCTCAGCCTCTACCGGTGACAATCTCGGCGAGGGATGGGCGACTAAGCGGCAGCTCAGTCCAGCGACGCATCAAACAACGAAAAGCACGTCTGTGACGACCAGGTCACTGCTTGCATGACAATGGTGGCCGACCGCTAGCTATCGTGCCCTAGCGATCGGTAAGTTCTCGATTTCAGGCGCGCCCGGAAAGGAGTTGTTGAGCTCGTTTCGATAGGTATGTCATATTGTCTTGCAACGTATCTTAAAGTCAGCGTCGACGAAACGGTCCTTGCGGTCCTTGGTCGTCGCTCAGTAACAGCTTGATCCTTATTGGGGATCGACGTCGACAGTGACGATGATTTAAGCAGAGTCAAACTCTCGTTGCCAGCCATGCATCTTTGGTCCGAGACGCACAGCAAGACACCTTCTGCTGTGCCCAAAGCTCGTGATGTTGCGTTCTCGCCCTCGAACTTCAAATGAACAAATTTTACGAGCTCCGCGAATCCTTCCGTAGCTTGCTCGTCAAGAAGAGAACCTTGGGATCTTGCTTTTTCGGTCAATGCTATCAACACCGCTTGAACTTTGCAACAAGTGATCTAGAGAAGCTATCGGCTTTGCGCTGGCGCCGGCCTTCGCTTGAGCGCTTTCTCGACTTGCCTTACGTATGCATCCACGCCAGCGACGACCTGCAGCTGCCCTTTGTGCAGACGATACGTGACACCCTGTTCACTTGCCTCGTCCTCTTCACTCGAGCTTTCCCCGTCGTCGTCTTCATCTTCGGCCCCTGCGAGACCAGCCGTGGCCGTCTTGACAGACTCGCCCTCAACTACGACTCGCGAAAGCCATCGATCGTGAGTGATCAAGCAAATACCTCCTTGATAATGCCTCAGTGCCTGTGCTAGCGCAAGAACTGTGGCGAAATCCAGATGGGTTGAAGGTTCATCGAGAATGAGCGCGTGCGGTGGGTGGTAAAAGATGAGAGCCAGAGCGAGGCGGACCTGTCACCAAGCTCAGCGAGGGTTCAAAATCATCATCTGTCAGCTTACCTTTTGCCCGCCACTGAGCACGGCAAGCGGTGTATCGCTAGCAACTTTGCCTTGCAGACCGACGGCGCTCAGGCAAGCGCGGGCTTCTGCCTCTGTCAGCTCGTCGCCTTGCTCCTTTGCGCGCATGCCCAGGTACGCTAGAGCAGTCATGGCCTCGCCCGTGTCCGTTTTGAGACCAGCATCCGTAGACAGTTGCTCGACAGACTCTTGCGCAAAATATGCAATGCGGGCCTGACTATGACGCGTAATTGCTCCCTTGGTCGGCAGCAGCTCTCCGACCATCAGCCGAGCGAGCGTCGTCTTGCCGGCACCGTTTGGTCCGAGTATCGCGATCCGGCCCTTCGGCGACAGCGTTAAGCTTATGTTTTCTAGCTGTGCCCGGCCTTTGCGGGCAAACGAGACGCCATCAAGCGCAATCAAGTTGCCTGCCGCTCGTAGGTTAGACGGCGTGCCAAGCTTGATGGTGACCGACTTTTCGGGCGCTTCAATCTCGACTGCAGCTCGCCTCGACAAGTGGTAGCCGGCCATGTCGCGATTGACCTTGAATCGGGTACCCTTGGCGCTTGTTTCGACGCCGAATCGCTCGTCTAGCTTTCTCTGCCTCGACTTTGCCATGCGTTGTTTGTTCTCGTCTCCAGTCTTGCGGGCGCTGCTTGCCGCTTGCTGGATCGATTTTTCAATCTGCCGAAAAAGTCTCAGCAACGATACGCGAGGTCTTTTTGCTGGCTCACGTGCTCGCGTTTGCGGTCCAGAGCGTCCCGAGTCTTGAGTGCGGCGCGGTACTTTTTGCGCTCTTCGAGCTGAAACGCAGCCGGATTACCCTCAAAGTATCGCAACGACGCATCGCGGAGCACGATAGTCTCGTCAACAATATTAGACAAGAACTCTTGGTCGTGAGAAACGAGTACAACGGTTCGAGTCTGCTCTGACAAGTAGCCTTCGAGCCTGCAGAACACGTCAGATCTTGGCTATAAATGCAGATGACGCCACTTGCCAGAGAATCGCATCAAGGTCGAGAAAGTTGGTGCACTCGTCGAGCAACAGAATGTCAGACTCTATCAGAAGAGCGATGGCCAGAGAGCTTCGAGATTTCCAACCGCCAGAAAGGTGTTTGACGGGCGCGTCTATCTGTGCAGTGGAGAACCCGAGACCTCTGAGGATTGATCGAGCACGAGCCTCTCGTGTCGGACCGTTGAGCTGTGCACCGTTGCATGTCAGTGGCGGTCTCGTGCCTTGTGTCGCGCTCATTTACAAGTTCAAACTCTGCTTGCGCGTCTTGCAACTTTTGAGCTGCCAAAACGGGTGCCTCGCTTGCGTCCGGCGCCTCCCGTAGCCTTCAAAAGTACGATCAGCATCGTCGAGGCGTCTTCGAGCGCCCGACTCACTCCTGCTTTGCCTCTGCCACTTTGGCCTCTGCTTCGAGTTCCGACAGCCGGGCTGCCTTGCCTCTTGCACCGGATCTCCGTTGAGCAATCATTCTAGCTGCGTCTAGCTGTTCTTCTTTCTCTTCAAGCGAAAGTTTTAGCAGGATCTCTTGCGTTTCGCGAATATCTGTCGATTCGACAGCCCTGTTGAGAACTTTCGAAGTAAAATTTTAGCTCTGGTCTCGTGCTCGTACACGAAACGTACTCTGACATCTTTGTTCTGCCTTGAGAGCTGCTTTGTCCCCCTTGATGACGTGCTCGAGCACTGTCGCCGTCGAGTCGATGACATCCTCGAGTTGATCAATTTGGCTGAGCAGACAGATCTTGAGTTTTGAATTGAGACCAGGAATCATCTTGTTGTTCAGTGCCTCCAACAATGTTGATTTGCCGGTCCCGTTCCTGCCCAGCTTTGAGGTTCGAGCGCACTCTCACCTTTGTCGAGCCGCGAATTGTCATTGCTCACCTGCCGACGAGCGCGTACTTGGTACCATTCTTGATCCTAACGTGAGCGTC